GACTACAGTTAAGACTACAACAGAAAATAGCTATAACGATCAGTCTGCACCAATTGTATTGAGGTCATGATAATAAGCCCACAATACCTCCAATACAACCAACATTCACGAAAACTTGGATCAAACTGCGGTTATAAGGTCGGTAAGGCTCACATTAACCTGACAGTAGTAGTGTAACCGTACAGCAGGTAATTTTCTGATCCCTAAAACCACGGACAGGACAAAAAGTAATGTACAGCACATGTACACATCGTGTATAACGCAACCAGCCATTACACCCGAACCCGCGGAAAGGTACACACAGCACACAGCGAGTGAGAGAGAGCCAGTGTACGAAATATTAACACGCTGGTGTATCGTCTTTCCTCAGCAGGGACATCAGATTATTCCATATATGGTATAATTTAAGCTCACTGCAAATGTGGCCCGTGTGCCAAGAATGTAGAGTGGGCTGTGGATGAGGCGCAGTCGTCGCCTCGCGTGATCCAGCTGTAGCCAATGGGAGGAGAGCGGCGCGCGCACGTGACTCGTCACGCAGTGCCCACGTGGCCCACATTGTAATATTATCATTGCTGGAAATTGAACACACATTTATGCCAGACATACGCTTCAACGTAGCTCAGGCGCAGTGTTACCTCTCTAATTGCCAAATTACCGTGTCTAAACTCTTGACATACACGCGAGCTTGTCATTGACGATATCGTGTGGGCTGGCAACCAATGAGAAGCCGCCACTCCGTCGCTCTAGCCAATCAGATCACGCACAGACGGTCACGTGGTAGTGTGATAAGAGTATCGGCAGGTAATATGAATCAATGGGGGCTGCGGCGTGGCTATTCAGTACGACTTCGATGTTCGAGCGAAGCGAGACCGAGCAGAGCAGTGAGCGCTCTCTGTAAGAAAATCGGTGGACATTTAAGGCATAATCCCTGATCAGCCTCGTAGTATATTATTTCTGGATGAGCGGATCACGTGCTGCTACACGCGTGTAGGCGCCCACGTGACATTAGTGTTACTCACGTGACCGAGAAAGTTCATTAGCGACTGGGCTCTCTTCTCATGTACATTAATTAGGACGCCCTGTATCATAACTGACTAGCGGTATACTGATACTACAGTGAGCTGGAGTCAGGTGTCTCCTTCTCTCGCTTCAATGGACTGGGAGGGAGTTGAGCAATAATTAGGGTAATTAGATTGACCAATGATTAGGGGATAGTAAATTGGATAGTGTGGATGTGGGTGTGTGTGTGCTTACTGCATGAGGATATGTATCCGCGTAACTCAAGGAAAAGCCTCCTTTGTATGAGTTCGGGTCATGTGTGACCAATTCACACGCTAATATTTGAAATAAAACACTTCCCACATTACAATCCACCGTCTTCTCCGGTCTACAACAAAACACTCACATCTCTCAATGCCCATTGTCCGTGATAATTTAATCTCATAGTCCAGATGGCAAGTTGGACCTCCCAAAACCAAAAAGTTAATGCACATTCAATCTAATTACACACACAGAAGTGACAGATCATTTGGAAAGACGGCCGGGAGCAGACTGAACTAAAGTTATCTTATCCAGATACTTTCAACATTATAGTCAAGATTATTCAAAAATAAAGCCCGCAATTTTGTCCCAGCCCGGCCTTGCGCAAAACAGACAGAGATTCAGTAAGTAGAGCAATGAAATATCTAGGAATGTTCCAGAATTTAACATTTAAGGAGCAGTGACATTTGAAGCGATTAAATATGTAGCGAATAACGCTACATAGCTTATTGCATCACAATCTGCAGTATTCCGTGAGATCATCACCGAAAATACTCCTAACCTCGGTATGGAACATTTACTTGGCACAAAGATTTCGGAGATAAAGCACTAAGCATTCTGAAAAATCACATGCAACTACCTTCTCCGTGTACACATTCTACGGAGTAAACAAACGGCTGTAATTCTCAGAACATATACAGGCTCCTTGTCTTCCAGTATTTCAAAGTAAGCCACGCTGTGAGCTCAAATAACACGAGCTTGTTAAACTTTGTCTCGGTGCGAGTGTGAATGTGCAAGTTTGCTTGCCAACTTGGATGATGTCAAAGAGACTGACTCCGTTACAGTTCTCATAACATTTTCAGACATTATTTCGAACGGAGTTCTCCGACTAAAACTCTCAAGCATGCACGATTATTATTTACGCTCTATCTCACACGAGAGAACTATGACAAGGAGCTATTATTCCACTATTTATTACATCCAGGGAGGGAAACGACAAAAGCAAGCAAATAAGAGGAAGGGAGGCATCAAATGAATGAAGGAACCGGCTAATGAATTTACACATATTATGTTAAAGCCACAGCACATATGATACGGGGACCTTCAAGATAAATATTTGGGCCTCGATTTGTTTTAAGTAGGCATGAAATAACATTATGAGAGGATATACCAGACTGCTAAGTTTCGTAGATTTAAAAGTTTGGTGGTCAGTGGTAAGAACAGAAAAACAATTCGTTTGTTTATTGTGTAAACTTATCAAATATGGTAGAATGTAAATATTATTTCGCAATACTTAAGAATAAAATATTAAAATAGGGTAAAATGGTAAAATATTTAACCATGCCGCAAATAGATAAACTGAAACATTTCTGTGATAAGAAATCTGAGTCTTGCACATGACATGTTAAAAGAATGCCCTTTCATTGAAATAAAATTGTTATCTTTCAAATACAATCTGATTCTGATGTACAAACTTACAAATATTTAAGAACTGCTATACAGAAATTTTACAAATAATTATTAAATAACATAAACTTTAACAGGGACGTCCAGAAATGAGCTCTTCAAGGGTTTAGATAAGAGGTTTGTGAAATTGTTAAATTATCTAGTTTTAAGGGGTGAAGAGGTTGGTAAGTAAATTTGGAAAATTTGAAAAAGATGAGCACATTTCTTAACGCTCTATAATAATACAACTATGTTCATAAAACATATATTTTGATAGCTCACGAACGACGGTAAAACCAAACATAAATTTTAACCACTACGACCATGAGTTCTGAGTAACCACGATCTAATGGAATATATCAGCAATAGCAGCAAATCTGGGGAAACTTGGTGGACATTGACTTTTTTCACACAATTTGAGTATGTTGACTTCAACATTATGTTGCAGCTCATTGTGGTTAATCTCAATGTTGGAGTGATGTTTTTCTGGCGCACAAAACACTGCAGTACGGTCATGTTGAATAATTGTGGTTAATGGGTCATCTATGTGGCCACTATGGTGGTTAAAATACCAGTTTTAGGGTTAACCACCATTTTGAGATATGATATTATGAACTGAGTAGTCATTATATTGAGATCATATCATGGTGCAACTATCACAAAAGTTTTCAAACCTCATTGGGGGCATTTTGTGGTCCTAATGGTGGTTAAATTGAAGATGAACGGTGAGCTATAAATATTGCTCTGATTATAGATGTATAGTGTTGGTTGTTCATTTGTGCATGGATGATAATTTTTTATCACAAATGTGCAATTTAATAGTATGGTTGATTTGAGGTGGTTAATATTCGTAAAAAGTGCTAAAAAGATGGTTAAAATGTCAAAATTTATTGTTAACCACCAATCAAAACATTATTAATGATTTTAGTCAACATTTTATGGTCAACAAAGGACATTTGAAGGGTCTTGATAAAATTTATCAAGAAATGTTGTCATAAAAGTGGTTAAAAGGGCTATATTACTTGCTAGGCTGTTGAACAAGGCATCTATTAAAGTGAAAATTAACCACAATATGAACTTCAGATAATGGTTTGCTATCCAAATGAGTGTATAATTGTTTGCAAATGCATAATTGACCCCAAGTTCATGCATTATGATCAATGTGCAGCTATGGTGGTTAAAATGTCTCGAAAATACCCTATATTTGCACTAATTAACCATTTTTAGAGCACATATTAGCTTTGTAAAGCTATAGCTGGCCATGCTACATTATCTAGATATAACTACCTGCTCATTTATATGACCAGAAACATTGCTGAGTCCTATGTTGCGTCCATCATGGTTAATAAAGGTCTAAAATTGACCAAAATCAGTGTTTTTGGTCGTTTTAACCACCATACGGCCACACATTTTGTTGCATTATCTTTAAAATCACTTATTATCCTCCAGCTATCTCTCATAATCAAATATCAAAACAAAATAAGGCACAAAAAGTTCGGAGGTTGCTGAATAATGGTTAATTTGTGATGGCTTCTGTTGACCGAAAGTCCAAAATAAACATGTTTTAACCACATTGAGGCCACATCTAAGGTTTTATGGTATTGGGACCATAGTCAAAAGTTTTGGGCACCTGAATGGTGACCTCTGCTTTTGAAATTATGGTGATATTTCAATGCTGTGCCATACCAGGTGGTTAAGTACGCGCTAGCTCGCGCGCACGCGTACAAACATGGTTTTTTTGATATACCACAGTTGGTGGTTAACTGTTCTACATCAAACCTTCACTAAAAGTATTGGGCACCATAGTGGTGACATAATATATAAAGAATTTAAGCCTAGACTAAATATGTTGGCCTACAGATGGTTAAGTACGCGCTAGCGCGCGCGCACGCGTACACTATAACATAAACAAATAAACCACTCCACAGACCACATTTATTAATTTTTTTAATTTCCTTCTTCAACTATGTGTCAATGAACCATTTTTGTTCAATAATGACCATCAATATTAACTGTAGTACTTATATCTTCACTGTAGTAAGGGTTTGGGTGTTAGAGGTATAAAAAATGTCCACTAACAAATCAGTCATTTTTCGACTACTTAACCACCTAACTCAGCACCAAAATGTTCTGAGATTTTTTTCGTTGCACTATCATGAAGCTATGACATTTTTGGACCTATGTAAATAATCAGATTACTAAAATTCATAATCTTTGATTTTTAAGGGGGGGTTAAATGCTTCAAATTGGTGTATTTCAAAGTTTCCCCAGATTTGCTGCTATTGCTGATATTTAAATTTTAAATATATAAACATCAGTTGTCAATGAGCTTGTCACAACGTCGGACGATACTTACACAAAATTCAGCTATAAAATGTGTAATATAAACATATGCTAAACATCTGTCATGAATCATCGAGGCTGTGATCCAAATATGTGATAAAGGAACAGATTTAAAGTCCCAGCATCATGACTCCTGCCCGGTGCGGTGTCCTTAAGTATTTGAGTTGGAGGGCTTTTATGGTCGAGCAATACAACTATAGGTAATAAATGGTTCAAAATAATCTGAACTGGAATGTTACAAATATACAAACAAATATCTGATGATTGGATTGAGTATGGGTTGAACATGTATACTCCTTTGTTCATTCTACGCAACCTGACCCTCAAAGGGACACACTGAAGAAATAAACTAATGTTTACAAGTGCTTCATATTTCCACGATTCGGGGAATTTGTGAACACAGATTCAAACTGTCTGCAAATCACACTTCAGAGATTTCTAATCTTGGTAGATAGTCTTCGTCTCCATCGTCCGAGCTGAACCCCGGCCAAGTGATGGAGGGTGGTGCGAGAGGTGCGTGCCGGGGTGGTGTTTTGGGACGTAAGTTGTAGCGACCAGTTCCACTTCTACGTCGCTCGACAACCTGAAACAGTGATCCAGTGAATTGCCAGCATCAAAATAACAGGAAACTCGATCTCCTTTTTTACTCAGCTGGACGGTCAAAAATGAAAAAGACATTCGGTTGCTCTAGGTAAATATTTGAAGGGGGCAGGCCGGGGGATTTGCTTTGACAGGGTGCTGTGGATAGAGGTCACTTTCAGGTGGTCGATCCCAAAATCCAAATCACGATAGTCCAATGTGAGAACCTGAATAAATTCGTTTACTATTGTCGCTTGGAAATTTGGATCGACTGGAGAGTACCCTCACACTACGGACCTCAGTCACACTCTGTTCATTCCTTCCTCCCGTATGGGTCTAAGTAGAGTCCTCGTATGTGTGACAAGTGAATGCGTTGCAAATAAAAACAACATAATTGGTGACAAACAAAATATGACTGTGAATGACATGAAGTTTGAACTGAACAAATGGCCCCAATGCAAAATATGAGATGCGTGAGAGCTGTTCGACATTGGTTTATGCACTCCCCGGATTATTAAATATGGTGAATGACTGAGAAATAAAAATCTGATCATTAACTATATAGCAGTTAAAGCTAAGGGTGAATGGCGCGGCAAGAGAGTGGGTGATTGCTAAACGAAATAGAAAGTGTGCAAGCAACAGTCCTGATACCATACTCGATTTAGCCGAAATATAGCTGTACTTGCTAATTAGAGGACGGCGAAAACGATAGTGATTGTTGTTTCCATCACAACTCAAGTTTTAACTGTTTTTAAGGCTTTGCCCAATGGTCAAAGCCTGTCAAAAATAGCAATGCCCCCCCCCCCCCCCCCCAATTTAAACTAAAAGTATTCTTACATTGAGGTCCAGTTTCATGGGTGAAAAACTTTTCTTCTTGTTGTATTTCTTTGGTTTGATAATCAGAGGAGAAAGCTCCCCATCAGTCTGAGTACCGTGATCTGAATGATTGGCTTCGTCATCAGAAAACCATAGGGACTTGTTCAGGGATGCAGTAATTGGGGCTAGTTGAGCCTGCAAATCTTGTAGCATCATCGTCGTATCTCTTGTTTGATTCAAGAGTTGCTGAAAAAGGTTGCAAACTGAGGACGAATGTTGTAAAATTTCGAGAAAGGGTGTAAGCGATCTTTTGTTAAAGCAGCTCTGACAGTGATTGCCGAAGGTTTACATTTAAACTAACCTTTGTAACATTATCAGGGTTTCCCGAAGAGTACAAAGCTTTGAACCATTTAAATATGCATATCCCAAGCCAAAGTCTCCGAATGTACCTCTTGGCTTTGTACTTGGTTATTTCATCATCCTGAAACGGCAGTTGTTAGATCACAATGTATAAACTCGGATTGCATAACTATAGTTAAGTAAGAGTTCTTTTAGTGGTCATGGTTACAGATAATCACAAAATATTATCAGCGTTATCGGGGATCATCGAGATCGAGAAGGCACACAAACCGCGCGTATTCGTTCAGAATTTCAAACTTCCCGAAAATTCTTTGCGCGCGCACAACGTTACTACTAACAGCCTTCAACTCTTTATGAAGATACTTGCTTAAAACTAGCAATTGGATTGGCGCGCATAAAAAGTCCGTTACTTATCTCGACTTGCCTGCACGAGAAAACCATATTGAACAATAGATTGTTCAACAGCAAGCGCCACTGCCGTTAGACACATCAAGGTAGGGCGTGCTCGAGAAACTCCGGGAAAACTTGTAGATATCCATGTTACGATAACCGATCCAGTGTAAAACAGTATCATCTCGTAAGTTGTAAAGTGGTCATGAAATGACTGTTGTAAGTATCCAATCTTTTCCACCAAACTGAACATCCTGCCGATAAAACTTTGCAGTTTTTCTGTTTTGGTAAGAATATCGGTGTTCATATCTGACATTGCATGCATTCCTATCAGCAAATTCTCTTGCTTGTGAGCCTGAATCTGAAAAAGAAACAGGCTGCAAAAAGAAAATGGGATGCAAGGAAATATTACATCAAACTTATATCACTCAGGCAACATAATCGAAATACACGATAATGTATTTACCTCTAACTTCTCAGCAACCTGTTCACTATTATCTTGCAATCTATCAACTGTTCTGTCAAGTCTATTCTGCCAGTTGAGTGATTGCAGGTAGAAGCACATGTTATGAGTGTGCATCACAAAGGAAGTGTAGATGACGAACATTGTGTCTGTCAGCGTCTCCGTGCAGCTGAAAAACAGAAATTGTTGTTCAATTTCAGGCGCGAACAAGAAATGTACGGCTATTATACATTATGATGCTAGTGAAGGATTGAAGGATTGAAGTATGCCATTGTCCAATGTCCATTATAGAGAATATTGGCGTGATTTTAGACGGCTTCTAAGCTGTTCGTACACTGTACTTTAAGATCAGTCACATATTTAGAATAAAGTATCCAAATATGTACCTACATTTATTTGACTAATGAATATGTAGTGAATATTTGTAACATAGTGTACCTCTCGATGGAAGCGTTATCGTCACAGATGTGTATTTTACGTTTGTGCTGCTGAAGATGACAGGTTAGGAAGGAATAAGCTAGTCTGGCGGTAGATTCATCGTTCAGATCAGCACAACTTGCTTCCAAATCCTGAGAAAAAATATTTACCTAAGTAAAAGAATGGGAGATACAAAATACATATTCTACATTTCAAGCTGTAGAAAACAAGTTTTCCCTAAACTTACCACTATAGCAGTAGCCCAGCATGAACCGGTTTTATCACTTTTAGAGGCTTCTTTATACTCTTTATATTTTAGTCTTCCTTGCTCAAGATTTTCTTTTATGACGTCTGTTTCAAACCTCACACTTTTAGCGAGAAATAATGTTGAAAGCAGTGTAACCCATCTAAGTATCATCGCTAAAGATTAAAATTTTTAAAATTTGGAAACATCGAGTAATAAATGGGTTAAGTCGTTATTTCATGAAGTGATAATGAATATATACGTAGATAAGATAGTGTTATCAGTTTGAAATTGCATGTCACAAATCGATAACAAAAGCGTAAAAGCTTTTAGTAATTATATATTGTTAAAATTTGAATCTAGCATTTATACGCAATAAAACACATTATTCTTGATACGAAAATAGTGCCTTTTGGTATAAAAACATAATATACAGCTCGCTCAAAATACCAATAGTACAAATAAACTTAAACAAATAAGAGTCGGACGAAACTGATTATTGTATCTAGCGTGATGTGTTAACAATATCATCGATTTTGAGAATGCTCCTCACAGTTTCACTAGCGAGAGTGATGGCGCTGATGGAAACGAGCAGGGGCTGCAGTACGTTCTCCTCTGTGATATTAGTGATGCAGCATTTCTTGACGTTGATACCGGCCATAGCCTCTCCTTGAGCGTGACGGTTTCGGAGCTCCGTGACGATGTTGATTGGAGGGAGTCCAGCATTTTCAGCCAGTGTGAATGGGATGATTTCCAGTGCATCAGCGAATGCTTTGATACAATGAGACTCTACTCCGCTGAGTGTAGCAGCATATTGCGCTAACTGGATACTAAGTTCAATTTCAGGAGCTCCACCGCCAGCAATCATGTTCTTGTTCTTAACCAAACACCTGATAACACAAAGAGCATCATGGATAGACCTCTCAGCTTCATCAGCCAGCAGTTTGTTACTTCCTTGTACCAAAATAGAGCATGTTTTGGCATTGCTCTGGCACCCGGTGATAGACACTACCTTGTTGCCACCTCCGACGTGGATTTCCTCTACAAGGTCAGCCTGTCCCAGATGTTCAGGGAGCATGTGGTCTGCGGTGGCGATGGGTCGACATCCCAGTGTCCTGCTCACGAAGTCAATCTCGTCCCTCTCGATGTCCTTGACAACCAGAACCTTCATCTTGGTCAGGAAGTGAAGTGCCATGTCGTTCAGAGCATCTCGGAGGATTGATTTCTGGATCAGGAGCACGTTAGCTCCACTCTTCTTTATCTTCTTGCACAGATCGAGGATGTAGGCTCGTTCTTCCCTCAAGATCCTGTCCATTTGGGTGTAGTCCGAGATCACTACTTGGGAATCCATATCAGATTTAGGAGGAGACAGACAGAACTGAATGAGGGCTACCTTTGCTCGTTCAACTCTGTGAACTCCAGTTGCTTGTGCTCTTTGGGTCAAGACGATTCCATTTACTAGTCTGGTATCTTCAACAGTTCCTCCAACTTTGGCAACGACCCGGATGTCTTTGAGATTGACATTGGTGGCGGTTTCGGGATCAATGATGTTCATGATAGCCTGAACAGACAGAGGAGCGAGAAGACCGGAGTATTGGGAAACCACTTTAGAGTTTAGGGAGGTAGAGGCCATCTTGATCAGAGATTCAGTGTCTGATAACTTCATGGGCATAGCGATAGAAGTAAGGACCTCCACACATTTGGCCTGAGCGATCTGAAAAGCTTCGGAGATAGTGGTAGGATGGATGCCACGTTGGAGAAGTTTGCGAGCAGCGTCCAGAAGAGCACCACAAATGACAACCACGGAAGTGGTTCCATCTCCAGCCTCAATATCCTGAGCCTTGCTGAGCTCCACCAACATCCTGGCTGCAGGGTGGAACACTTGCATCTCTTTCAAGATTGTAGCACCGTCGTTTGTGATGGTGACGTCTCCAGTTTTGCCCTGGATCATCTTGTCCATACCTTTAGGTCCCAGACTGGTCCTGATGGCATCTGCAACGGCTTTAGCGGCTTCAATGTTGCTCAGTCTGATGTCGGTGGGCTTTTCCTTGTCCTTGAACTGTTTCTTGTTGGACTTGCCTCCTTTCATCGCGATCTTGGCGGCTGCTGGGCCTGATGGTTTGGATGCTGCGACCTTAGTTGCCATTTTAGCACTACTGAGGTAATAGAATATAAGTTTTATAAAATGCATTATACCGAAAGTTGATAGATATTTCTGTTAAGTTAGACGAATTGGAAGAACACAATTATCGATTCAATTTAATTTTCGATGAAATTAGACAGCCAGACTTAAATAACAACAAGTTAATAATACTTAAATAATAATGTACATGAATTGAATACACCGAGTTGGTTATAAATATCAATATCGTAAAATTATGATACCATGCTTTATTCGACATCAAATCAAAATTATGATCTCGACAAATTTTGAAAATTATGCATGTTTTTTGATCTATCTGTTACATTAATTACCAATATTGAACAGCAAAATATTAAATATCGTTAATTATGCGCAAGTCTTTAATTAATTTACTTGATACATAATTTCACGTCTGAAAAACTGAAAACTGACTGATGTAAACCCTGTAAAGGGTTACAGGAGAACACTGTCAGTCGGTTACAATTGTCATGCCAAAGATCCGGCAAAAAGTCGTTGTTTTGGTCATAAGTAGTCATCAATTAGCAATTATCATATTAAAGTCATCATCTTATATTGTAATAGAAATTTCTCGAAATAAAAAACAGCTTAATAAACTCTTCGGAACTGCATTATTACGCCGAGTTGTAAATAGTTGGTATTAACACAGTAACACTAAGTCTTCCGCCAAAAATCAACTGATCTAAGTCAGATTCGAGCGCTCTTCGGAGCTCCATTTAATGGCATTAGAAATATTTGAATGAGACCTGTGTGTTGGTTTGGAACAACTCGAATATATTGGCTTTTTATTAAATCAAGATTCAAGAAGCAACCCAAAAAGTAAAAACACACGATAAAAATTGGTCTTTCGTACTATAATATCAACTATAAGCGAAGTAATTAAAAAACTTCGCTAAGTCTGTCAAGTCCTTTAATAAAGGATCAGTAAAAACCACTTATATATTACATCCCCCAGCCCCGCGTCCTGCAAAAGTGTCACAAATAGTTGAACAATGTCACTGACATTCCTGATCTATTCCTCGAGGATGTCATGAACACGTTCTAATTCGTCCAGACTGCTGACTGACATGAATTTTGAGGAACTGTACTTGTTTCTGACGGCTTGGTGCTTGCTCTTCTCTGCTCGTATCACCAACTGAAGAAATGACTAATAAATACTTAGCACGGTATGCACCTTGTATATACCTTTAAATACCTTTGTTTTACTTACCTTCATTATACCTACACATGTATTGTATGGTTTCTGCTTCTACTCAGTTTAGCGTGGTTTACAATAAAAGATGTTTTAATTTTGTCTTTGCCTTATTAATAATGAGTTATACTTTTGTTCACATTTGCTCACATCACTCACAGTCAGCCGCTCTGACATGGTTAAAACCACCTTTCTTGTGTTGTTGGTTAATCTTGAGCGGGATATAAATACTTTATTTCATTTAATAGTGGACTTTGACAGTGAAATAAATCCCCACAACCAAGCCACGGTTCTTACACTGCCATTATCTTAATACAAAGGAATCCTTTGTGCAGCACAGTACTGTAAAATTACCTCGCAGATAGCTTTAGCAGGGACGAGAGCCATGTCTCGTGTGTACCCTGTGTAGTGGGTCAGAGTGCTGTTCCACTTTTTATCTGGCATCAGTACATGCTGTGCTACTAGGAATGCTCCTGCTGCTAACTCGCTCGGCTTGAACTTCAGCATTGCTGGGAGGTTTGAGTTTTGTTTTAATATTGAGATTATTGACACAACCTTCGGAGATTGCCATGTTTTCTTAAGTCTCTTAAACTTGATAATCAAAAAGTTCGTTCAGACAAAAATCTATATAGGTGATTAAATCCCCAATAGTTTGGAAACGTGTCGTCTGAATGAAACTTACACATATGAGTGAGGCAGATTTCGGTGAGGTATTTTCCGAGAGTGTGGACCTTGCCGTCAGCATTGCCAGCCTTGCTGTTCCTCCTCAAGAAGTGAAGTGGGAGTGGGTGGTTCAGATCGAACTCCAATGTGTTCAGAACATTTATCTGAAAGTACATCAGGGTAGAAATATATTGGGCAAAATAAAAACGATACACATTTTTTAAATTTAATGATTAAGTGACTCGAATATGGTCATCATTTTCAAGACAGAATTATGAGTATAAAGGTCTGAAATTCTGCCGTACCTCCATATCGAGGATATTCTGGAATGTGTAGGCGTTGTCTGTAATGTAAACAAAGTCGTTAACTTCAGGAGCGTAGATCTCCTCGAATTTACTGGCAATCAGCATACAGGTCACTCCTGTCAACTGCAATTTATCTGAAATAAAGATATTCAGATGTTAAATGGGTAAACATTTTTATCCGAGTAAAATCATTTTCCAAATTCCAGAAACTGCTGAGTACCGATTTCTAGCCTCTAATTGGGTCCTAAAATTAACGAATAACGAGAAAAGTAGATGTAAAACAAGAGGATATTACAGGATGGATCTTATTTAGACCGCCATTTTAACTCACCTCTTTTAATGTCAGTAACAGATAAGTATCGGTCTAGAATAGCAACTGTAAGGTATAATGTCTCTTGGAGGAGTTTGAACTTCAGATGAACCTGGATCAGCCAGTCCACCAGAATTCCTCGCATTCTATCGGTAATGTCTGTCTTTTTCTTTATATAATCAGCATCAACCTAAAAATGTTAATTTCAATAATTACAGGTTCTTAATGAATACAATTTTTATAGTTTTTTTAAAGCCATAATTTCCGTATTATATCGACAATTACAAGATGTCAATATTCAAATTTCCTATTTCCAGACCAAGCTTTTAGAGCGTGTTGAACTTACACGATATTCTATTTCCATGATTTTCATGTACGCATATATATCGTTGATGTACTCGCTGCATAACAGAGGATTCTCTTTGTCATCCTCGTCGATGTCCTCCACAGAAATGTTTTGAAGTTTACTCGTTAAATCTTCAACAACGTCTGTAGTTTTCTTCTAAAGTGGGTAGGAGTTCTTGAAAACGTTTGAAACCGTATCTTATATGAGATAACAAATTACAAATTCAAGAAAATAGTGAAACTATATTTATTTATTTAAACAATTAAGAGAAAACTTTACGAACCTTTTTGCTTGGTTCCGCAGTTTCTTTCTTTGCATACGGAACATTAGCAATGGAGGATGGCTTAAGTGCAGCGACCTTGCGTACTCTCAAGTCGTATGCTTTGTTTGTCACAAGGGCATTGGTGGTAGTTTGCTTTAATGCTGGTTTTAGAGCGTTATCTAAAAAAGAGTCAGTTGAAAAGGTTTGAATTGCACAAAACTTAGTTTAGATCAGGAAAAGGTTCAAGAGCTACATAAATAGATATAAAAAGGTTGTAATTTTCTGGAACCTAAAAAACTGAAATTTCAAAAACTGAAATTTCAAAAACTTTTGAGCAGCAAACCTCTGTTTGAGTTTTTACAGTCTACTGGATTTCTCCTCATAGCAGGGCGAGCTAAATTTCTGTCACGCTCTCCCAAACCAAGACGAGTTGTGTGAGTAGCCATATTAGCTAATGGGAGGAAATTCTGTAGAAACACAAATAATGCTACATAACAAAAACAAGATCTTAAATTTTGAACAATTGGGCCAACAGTTGCATTCACAATACATACTGCACCTCCTATGGGATCTGTCCTATTCAACAAACCTTGCAGTTCAATTGTTATTCATTTGACGCACTAAAGACAACTTATGATCAGCAGAAGAGCATTCATGTTATCACAATGAAGGTATACAAATTTGAAATACAGGGGGGGCCAAAAGTAACATTAAATACGTTGGCTCAGTCACCAATTGCCCGATTGAGGTAATTCATTTTGGTATGACTATCACTGCTCAATGCTCATTCGAGGAATATATTAAATCAAAGAATAGTCATGTTCATTTTTTTACCAATGAAGGTTCATTATCACATTTATTCAACAGTTCTGATTTAATCGGATCGAGCCAAATTTTATTGAAGAAATGAGAGTTGTAGCTTCTCAGATGATCGAGATACAAAGCACAACAAGTTTATTCATTACGTGTGATCAGGTGATTGGCTTACCTGATCTCATGCTTAGAATTTAGATGAGTAGTAACAGCATGCATATGCCATCTGAAAAGTTCCAGGTCTCAAATATGAAACACGACGGTGGTATAAGACCCAACATATGTAACGTTACTAATTACTTTTGACCCCCCTGTATTATGAAGTTATTTTTAAAATTATACAATACATCGTTAAATAAAACATATAAAATAAAAAGTCGGTAAAAAACGAATATAAAACACTGCATTGTACACTCAACCATATGTTAAGTAGAAATATAATAAAAGAAATTTAAGCATTTAACACAATTTTAAAAAGAATTAATATAATATAAAAAATATTCATATCCTAGAACTCTAGAACAGATTTAGTTTTTATTTTCCCAAACAATGTATATCCACTAGACCAGGTAAATCAGGAAGAAAATTATAATGTATACACATTATTATAGGGTTCAGTTAGAGTAATATCACGGTGAATGTATTCAGTAAGATATACCTCAGATAAACAGGATGTATTATTATCTAGAGCAGGGCTATCCAGTTGAAGTGGATTCTTCTGGAAGAACTCTATCATTTGAGCAACATTGTCAAAAAGAAGGTGCTGAATTCGACACCCTGACTTGGTTATCTGCATCCTCAAGTGTTTTGCAGCACCTTGGTTGCTAAAAGTTAAAACAAGCTCCCCATATCTTGTGTCAGACTTTCTGATGAGGAACTTACCATGACTGTCGTTACCATCTTTAGTGACTTGTATCACAGCCTCTTCCCGTGATATCTCATTGTGAAACCATGGTCTAGTTAACCAACTTTGCATCTTACTCTGTAAATGTTGGCGTAAATTTATCAAAAAGGAGATTCTAAGCAAGAACGAGGAACAGCAGTAGTAACATAGGACCAAGACCAGGAGATGTTGATTTATCTTTAAACAGGAGCTGCTTCAAACCTTTTACCTAGCGGTGAAATGGTGGCTATTAATTCAAGGCAAAGATTGCAAATTATAGCCCCTATGATGAAAACAATTGAATGACCAAAATATCAATTTATCATTATGACAGGGTTAAGGCTTGAAGGGTCATCATATGCTTCTGGGGGTATAGTTGAATCTATCTGATCCTATTGATGCTAATTACAAATCCACTAAAGTCCCACGGTTAACCTTTGTGTCCAATTTTCAGAAAGTGTTGAGAGGGTGTATATGCTATCATGTGTACAGTACAGTAAAGTAAAGTAAAGTAAAGTAAAATTTATGACATCACATCATCACACATGTCTACAAACTATCATCGCACTGTGTAAGTACAATGTGGATGTAGTCAAGATCATTCTGCTGAGTCAACTGAGGAGACACTAATGTGTAAATTCGCATGGATCCAACGGATCCTTAACTATCTTCCCTAGACCAAGTGACATTGGATTCAAACCCTGGACCTTCAGCGCTAAAGGTGGAAGCTCTAGCTTCCGGCCCCGTCAGCCGCCAGTCCTTCACAATTTGGCCAATAGTGAACTGTCGTGGGCCACAGTGACTTTGTAGCCGCTGTGTTGTTCAATCCTAATGGTAGGCCACGACTCGTGGCCTACCATTAGGATTGAACAACACAGCGGCTACAAAGTCACTACTTGATTTTGATTTTTGTCTTTCTTAGTAAACAATTGCATTGCTTGGGATAGGTATCACGCCTCTGTATATTCCAAAATGCATTGGATGTATAAATCTCTTTTTTTGATTGAAATAAATTTTCGTGCACATACAGAATGAATGGTTAATAATTTAATATATATGTAGACCAAGGTCTGTGCACGGGATGCTTCCTGGAAGAATCCAGTTCTTTTAGCGGGGCACCGGGGGGGGGGGCCAATGACTACCAATGGAGACTTTTGGGGACTAATGGGGACTAAAAATCATGGGGACTAGAGGTCAACTCGTTGACGTAATTCACCATTTGTCCCCATAAGTCCCCAGAATTTTCGACAGTTATTTATGGTTTCCAAGTTAGTTTAATAACGATACGATCGAGATGTTTTGTCCAAGATACGAGTAGGATAAATCTGACTTAAAAGTAAAATGATAAGCCCGGTTGTAATGTGTTCTACCACTGTACAAGTCAGTTCAGATTGAGGTAAATTGAAGTTTAGCTCTCGTGAAGGTAGAAGTAGCCGACTCGCTGAACTATCTGAATCTTATAATCGAATGAAAAATCATGAATTAACCCTTCGACTTACCCTCCTAATACACTTAAAGATGTTATATGATGGGTGAATGAGTATTTATAACAGCCGTTCTGTGAACAGACTTGGTGATCTTTATTTTAGGGGGGGGGGGGGGGTGTGACATGTCTACAATGTCTCCAATGTCTTTTTTGAAAAGATAGGGTGCAGAGACATGTCCTGGAGACATTGGAAACACAGCTTTTGGAGACATTGGAGGCATTGGAGACATTGGGGACATTTGAGACATTGGAGACAAAGCTTTTGGAGACATTGGAGACATTGGAGACACTGGAGACGTAGATGTATGATTGGAGAAAGAGGAGGATCTAGGAGGAGAAGGACCCAGGAGGAGGACTCAGGAGGAGGAGGATGAGGACTGAGGATGGTTGTGGAGGATGGCTGAGGAGGAGGAGGATCTAGGAGGAGAAGGACCCAGGAGGAGGAGGACCCAGGAGGAGGACTCAGGAGGAGGAGGAGGAGGACTCAGGAAGAGGACTGAGGAGGACAGAGAAGGAGGAGGACTGAGGAGTACTGAGGAGGATGGCTGAGGAGGATGACTGAGGAGGATGACTGAGGAGGATGACTGAGAGGGAGGAGGAGAAGAAGGACTGAGGAGAAGGAGAAGGAGGAGGACCTAGGAGGATGAGGACCCAGGAGGAGGACTCAGGAGGAAGAGGAAGAGGACTCAGGAGGACTGAAAAGGAAGAGGACTGAGGAGAACTGAGGTGGAGGAGGACTGAATAGGAGGAGGAGGGGGACTGGGGGAGGACTGAGGATGAAGAAGACTGACGAGAAGGATGAGGAGGAGGACTGAGGACTGAGGAGGATGAAGAGGAGGAAGACCCAGGAGGAGGAGGGATGAGGACTGAGGAGGACTGAGGAGGATGGCTGAGGAGGATGGCTGAGGAGGATGACTGAGGAGGATGACTGAGAGGGAGGAGGAGGAAGAGGACTGAGGAGGAGTAGGACTGAGGAGGAGAAAGAGGAGGACCTAGGAGGAGGTGGACCAAGAAGGAGGACTCAGGAGGAGGAGGAGGAGATCTCAGGAAGAGGACTGAGGAGGACTGAGAAGGACTGAGGAGGAGAAGGAGAAGGTGGAGGAACTAAGAGGAAGATGAACCAGGAGGATGAACCAGGAGGAGGACTCAGGAGGAGGACTTAGGAGGAATGAGAAGGAGGAGGACTCAGGAGAACTGATGAGGAGGAGGAGGAGGACTGAATAGGAGGAGGAGGGGGACTGGGGAGGACTGAGGAGGAGGAGGACTAAGGAGAAGGATGAGGAGGAGGACTGAGGACTGAGGAGGATGAAGAGGAGGAAGACCCAGGAGGAGGAGGGATGAGGACTGAGGAGGACTGAGGAGGATGGCTGAGGAGGATGGCTGAGGAGGATGACTGAGAGGGAGGAGGAGGAAGAGGACTGAGGAGGAGGAGTAGGACTGAGGAGGAGAAAGAGGAGGACCTAGGAGAAGGAGGACCCAGAAGGAGGACTCAGGAGGAGGAGGAGATCTCAGGAAGAGGACTGAGGAGGACTGAGAGGGAGGAGGACTCAGGAGTACTGAAGAGGATGACTGAGGAGGAGGAGGAGAAGGAGAAAGACTGAGGAGGAGAAGGAGAAGGTGGAGGAACTAAGAGGAGGATGAACCAGGAGGAGGACTCAGGAGGAAGAGGATGAGGACTCAGGAGGAGGACTTAGGAGGAATGAGAAGGAGGAGGACTGAGGAGAACTAAGGAGGAGGAGGAGGACTGAATAGGAAGAGGAGGGGGACTGGGGAGGACTGAGGAGGAGGAGGACTGACGAGAAGGATGAGGAGGAAGACTGAGGACTGAGGAGGAAGAGGAGGAGGATGAAGAAGAGGAGGATGAAGAGAAGGAAGAAGACCCAGGAGGAGGAGGACTGAAGAGGAGGATGAGGATGAGGACTGAGGAGGAGGAGGAGGACTGAGGAGGATGGCTGAGGAGGATGACTGAGAGGGAGGAGGAGGAGGACTGAGGAGGAGGAAGAGAAGGACTGAGGAGGAGAAGGAGGAGGACCTAGGAGGAGGAGGACTCAGGAGGAGGACTCAGGAGGAGGATGAGGACTCAGGAGAAGGACTCAGGAAAACTGAGGAAAAGGAGGAGGAGTGAATAGAAGAAGGAGGGGGAGGACCTAGGAGGAGGAGGACCCAGAAGGAGGACTGAGGAGGAGGAGGAGAACTCAGGAAGAGGACTGAGGAGGACTGAGAAGGAGGAGGACTGAGGAGTACTGATGAGGATGACTGAGGAGGAGGAGG